AGCAAAGAAATCTTTCTACTCTGCATCTATTGCGTCTGCGAAGTCTCATCCGGCAGAGCTCTTCAGGGTGGTTAGAAAGTTAACCCAAACTCCTTCCACCCTAAATCCTCTTTTACAACCTGCTGTGACACTTTTAATAACTATTCTGCAGATAAAATCTCTCAGATATAGGCCAATTTAGACATCAGCATTAGTACAGAAATGATAAGAGAGGTGTCCAGTGGCTCCGTTAATGGTGTTATTTTGGATCAGTTTCAATCTATGAGTATTGATGATGTAGACAAGCTGCTTGGCAAGGTAAAAAAGACCACTTGCCCTCTTGACAAGACTTGCCACTTGGCGATCCAGGGAGGTGAGACAACTATGAATCTATTAAAATCTATAATTAATGCCTCCTTCAGGGAAGGGTGTTTTCCAACTAGTTTAAAACTAGCAATAGCAACACCTATATTAAAGAAGCCTTCCCTTGATCCCCTGGATAAAAATAACTACCGGCCAGTATCTCTTCTTCCTTTTTTGGACAAGGTGATCAAGAGGGTGGTTGCAAACCAACTCCAAGCAATCTTGGATGAAACCGATTATCTTGATCCATTTCAAACTGGCTTCAGAACAGGATACGGAGTGGAGACTGCTCTGGTCGCCTTAGTCGATGATCTCCGTCTGTGCATCAACAGGGGAAGTGTGGCCCTGTTGGTGCTCTTGGACCTCTCAGCGGCCTTCGATACCATAGACCATGGTATCCTTCTGGAACGCCTGAGAGAGTTAGGAATTGGGGGCTCTGCTTTGCAATGGCTCCGTTCCTACCTCTTGGGCAGATTCCAGATGATGATGCTGGGGGACAATTGCTCTTCCAAACAAGAGCTGACATCAGGCGTCCCTCAAGGCGCCATTCTGTCCCCCATGCTGTTTAACATTTACATGAAGCCACTGGGTCAGATCATCCAGAGACATGGGGTGGGGTGTTATCAGTATGCTGATGACACCCAAATTTACATCTCTATTTCTTGGACTGTTTCAATGACCAAGGAGGGCATCTCCCTTCTGAATGCCTGAGGGGATT